TACTTGAGGGTGCACATGGGGTAAGGGTGGGGGGCTTTTGTCTTACTCCCTCCCCCTCCTGAGGAGTCAGTAACCAACAGTGTCCGTGCCTGGAATATTAATGTCTCAGCGGCTTTTGTTTGGGGGGTTGGGGGTGGTGGGGGCGGGACTTTCTGGTCAGAGAGGGGCTGAGCTTTGGGGACTGGGGCACTGGCCCTTTAAACTGTGTTGACAGCCAGGAGTCGTCATGGGGTTGGTGCTGGGAAAAAGGGACAGGGGAGGGTTTAAGAAAGAGTGGCGGAGCAGGTAATGCGTAAGACCCAGGAATCCAGCCCCCAAATACCTCCTCTCCCAGGACCCAGGAGTCTAGGCTCCCAGCCCCTCCTCCATCAGGTTCCAGGAGTCTGGGACCCCGGCTTCTTTCCCCCTTACACCCAGGAATTCAGCTCCCAACCATCTCCTCTCCCAGGTTCCAGAAATCCAGACCCCTAGCCTTTTTCTCTATCAGGACCCAGGAGTCTGGGCTGCCAGCAGCCCCTTCCTGCAAACCTGTGAGTCAGAGCCCCCAGCCCTCTCCCAGCTTAGACACAGGAGTCTGGGCCTCCAGCCCCCTCCTCCTTCAGGACCCAGAAGCCAGGGGTCCAGAGTACACAGCTGGTGGAGGTTTCCACGGAGACTAAGCAGGGTAGGGGGGGGGCGCTTCCTGGGTCCTGAGTCAGCGAATACCCAAGGGAGTCTCAAGGTCATAGTTCCGGGAAGGTCACCGCCACCCCTTCTGTATCCGCTCCCCAGGGGGCTCCTGGCATCCTGCCTCCTTCCCCTCCCTCCCCTAGGGAGATGGTACATCCCTGTGTCCTGACCGAACCCCCCTCAGCCCCCCATCAATGGCGGAGTCCGAACATCCTCACACAAAGCGTCAATTCTTCCCCAGCTCAGCCTTGTGAAGGCGCCTGTATTCGCAGGACCTAGGCATCAGGGTCCCAGCCCCTCCTCCCTCAGAAACCTGGAGTGGACCCCCACCCCCCACCAGCCCATTGCTCCCTCAGGACCCAGGAGTCTATATCCCCATCCCTTCCTCCCTCAAGACCTAGGAGTGTGGACTCCGGTCCCCTTTTCCTTCCGGACACGGGAGTTCCAGCGCTCAGACTTCTCCTCCCTTAAACCCCCTCCTCCCTCAGACCGAGGACTCTAAGACCCCAGCCCCCTCCTCCCTCAGACCCAGGACTCTAAGACCCCAGACCCCTCCTCCCTCACACCCATGAATCTAAGACCTCAGCCCCCTCCTAAGATCCCAACCTCCTTGTCCCTCAGACCCAGGAGTCTAAGACCCCAGCTCCCTCCTCCATCAGACCCAGGAGTCCAGGCCCCCAGCCCCTCCTGCATCAGATCCAGCCCCTCCTCTACTGGAAACTTTTGAGTTTAAGTTCACAGCCCTGCCTTTCCTCAGCCCTCTGTCCCCCTCCCATCTGGGGATCTAGGCATCAGGTGGGGGCGTAGGGGTGAGTCAGCAGCCTCACACACAAAGTCCCCCCTGTGGCCCCCACATTCCTGGGCTATTCGGGACTCCCTGGATTCCAGGCCTCAGGCCCAGCCAGGGGGTGGGGAGTCCTCCAGAGGTCCTCCCTGGGTGTGGGGTACGGGAGGAATTCCAGCTCCGGGAAGGGTGCAGGCCTGCACTGAGCTCCCACTGTCTGAACCTCCACCCTCAGTGCCCTCTATTCACCCCTTCCCAGCAGAGCCCAGGCTCAGCGCCTGCTCCTTGCCCCACTGGGTGCCCACGGAGGAGCCCGAGTGCCTGCTCCCTATGGGCCTGGGGTCTGCCCAGGCGGAAACCAGTGGGTGCTTGGGTCCTGGTGCCATGGGCCACTGGATGCTGGCGGGTCTGACTGTCTTCAGGCCGCCCCCCCGCACCCCTCCCAGAGAGAGAAAGCTGCCTTTGTGTTCTCCAAGATGGGGACAGGCCAGGCTCACACGACATGAACGCACCCTTAGGCCCCAGCCCTGCTGTGTCTAAGGTCTTGGAGTCCATTGCAGAACCTGACCCCCACCCCCGGCCTCTGGGGACACAGGCGCCTGGCTCATGAGTGGGCGGGTGGGTGGGGGGTCAGTGATAGAAACCTCCAAAACCTGTTCCTTGGGGTGACTCACAATGGGGGAAGAATCCCCCTAGTCTCAGAGTAGCTGGTCAGAATTTTAGCAGGGACAAGTGAGTCACCCTGGGAGGGAAACATTATTTGGGGATCAACAACTGCCCCCTCCACAAGGCCCCTCAACTCCTAACAGCCTCTCTGTTCTTTCTTTGTATTGGATATCTGTTTCCTCTGCTCCTTTCTGTTCTACCCTATTTCTGGTTGTGGGTCCCTGTTTCTGCCTGGGTGTGTCCCTGGGCAGGCAACCCGTCCCTTCCTCTCACTTCCTCTCCTCTGCCCACCCTGGATCCTTCTTCTTGTGGCATACACCTCATCCTCTTCTAGTATGCTTAGAAGATGAATGAACCAGGAGAGAGAGAACATGTTTTTAAAATGGCACAAATGCACCCCATCTCCCCCGATTCCCGCTGGCTGGGCAAGATGAGAGAGGAAGGAGAGTGACTGAGAGAGAAATGTGGGAACAACTGATACCCCTAAAAGGTGGTGACCCTGGCCACTCAGAAATATCCAATGAAAAGGAAAGCAGGCAGGGCCCTCTAAGACCGGGTGCTACAGCCTCCCACTCCATGCTTTACAGAAGGGGACAATAGGGCCCAGAGAGGGTCAGGGACCGATGCAAAATTATACTAAAAGGCCCTGGGTAAGGCTTAGATTCAAGCTCCTTAGCTCCCAGCCGGCAGCTCTTTCCATGACACCAAGCTCACTCTCCACTTGTAAAAGCCACATACCATTTACTTTAGAGAAAGTTTACTGAGAGGATTAGGGTGCCAGGAAGCAGTGACTTGGAAATCAAACAAGGGACAGGGCTGTAGACCTAACTCCCAGAAGCACCGGAGAAAGGCTTTTGTACGGGGCGGGTAGTATCTTGAGCTATATTCTGATCCTGAGAATTCAAAGTCTGATGATTCTAAGCTGTCGAGATTCGAAATGTCGTAGATGTCAAGATCTAGGAACTCCAAGACATCCAGATTTCACGACTTTAAAGATGTCAAGATGCCAGCATGCTAACACCATCACAGCTCTAGAACTTTAAAGGCGTCAAGATTCTAAAGCCTTCTGGATTCTAGAATCCTATCGATGCCAGCATTCTAAAGTACCCTCAGGTTCTTTGTTTACTGGATTCATTAGTTCCAGGATTCTATGAACCTGGTGTTTAGCCTAAAAAATAAAGGTAAATTAAAATGGAAGGAAATGACACGAAGGCACCAAAGTTCTCATCTGGGAAATTGTGGTGTGCCTGGTGCAAAGAAGGGTGATGATGCAGTTCTAAAGCAGTCACAGAAGACTAGAGAAGAAAGAAAGGCAGACAGTGAGAGGACAGCTTTGCCCCTCACCCTGGCCGAGGTGAGGGAGGCTCTGCCTCAAACCCAGGAGTGAGGAAGGTGTAACCGCACTCAACTCGCCAGAAACCCCTTCAAGGTCTGAGCTGGCGTTCCCTTTCAGGTCACTGAGTTTAACATCCTCACTTTGCAGAAAGAGAAACAGAAGCCTGGAGAGGGAGGTGTTTACCATTGGCTGAGATGGCAAATGGCAAGAGCCAAGATTTAAACCCAGGCCGCCAGCCTCCTGCCACCTGGGTACAACTCCTCTCCCCGGTCTCTGCAGAATACCCAGCCCTCCTGCTTCTGCCCAGCCAACTTCCATTCCTCTGTTCCTTACAAGAGTGGCTTTATCCACCAGAGAGGGGTGACCCGTGGCAGGTTCAAGACTCACACAGTGTGAGAGTAGTGTGTGGGTGACATTTCCTGACCTTGTCCCCAGTCTCAGGGTCACCTGACCTTGAGGGTCTCCAGCTTCTCACAGTGTGTGATGAGGGTATGTTGATGGCTCCCTGGATGTCCCGGACAGGGGCTTCTCTGTGAGTCAAGCCTGGGTGTGTGAATGGGTGAGGAGGGTTTGGAGAGGCATTCACTGAAGCCACGTGTGTGCCTATACGTCAGGGCCCCCCATTCTCACTTCCCTGCACACATGCACACAGATGTTGCCCCCCAGGGCTCTTTAGGATACCCTGCCCGACTGAATTCCTCCAGGGCACAGAGGGATAGAGAGAGGGAGGACGGAAGGATGGGAATGGGAGATCCCGGGATGGAGGCTATAAGGCTACAGAGAGGAGGCAAAGCAGAAAGGCAGGGATGGAGACAGTGGGACAGAGCCGGGGGAAAGAGACAGGTGACAGAAAGGGCTAGAGAAACGAGTGACAGAAAGGGGAAAGACAAGGGATGGGGTAGATAGGGGACAGAGAAAAAGGGACAGAAAAACAAGGGTGACAGCAAGACAGAGACAGGGACCTAGAATAGGGGCAGAGAGGGAGGGCAGAAATCGGGGGAAAGAGAAAAGAGAAGATGAGGGAGGGGACAGAGTAACCCAGGAAAAGGGGACAGAGACCAGGGGACAGAGGTAGGGGACAAAGACAGAAGAGATGAAGAACACGGAGGGAAGGAGAGAGGGAGATAGACAGAAGGAGGGACAGGACTTTGAGACTGAGGGACAGAGGACAAGGGTAGGGGGACGAGGAGCCAGACAGGGGATTCAGAGATGGGCGGACAGAGTGACGCGGAGACCGGACAGAAGGACAGCGGGACCGGCCTGGGGAAGGCGGACTTGTGTGTGGGGGGGGTCTCGGGCCCTTTGTCCCCGCCGGGATCCGGCCTGCGCGGGTGGGGGGTGCTGCGGCACGGCGGCCGGGGCCCGCGCCCCCTCCCCCGCTCGTCGCTCCCGGCTCCCGGCCCGCGCTGCGCTTTGTCCCGGGGAGGGGGCCCGGCCGGGCCCCGCGCGCATTGTTCGGCCTCTGCGGCCCCGAGGAGGCCGGGCTGTCACCGCGGCGCGCCCCCCTCCCCAGCCCGGCCGGCCGACCCCGGCCCCCGACCCTACCTGGCCCCGCCGCGGCCGCCCACAGCAGCAGCAGCGGCCACTGGAAGCGCCGGGCCCGGCCCATGGTGCCGCCGCCGCCGCCGCCGCCGCCGCTCGCTCCCGGCCCGGCACCTGCACCGCCCGCGCCGCCCGCCCCGCCCCCCGCGCCCCGCCCCCTGCCCGCCCGGGGGCGGGGCGCCGAGGCCGGGGCGGGGCCGGGGCCGGGGAGGGGAGGGGGAGACCGAGGAGGGGCCCGGGGACAATCGCGGGGAGGGCCCCGGGGGGACGGTGCGGGGTGCGCGCGCCGGAGAGGAGACGGGAGAGGAGGGCGGGAAGGGGTGCCCGGGGGGGCGGCGGCGTCGTGAGAGCCGGTGGGGGCTCTGCGTGAGCGCGGGAAGCGGGGGTGTTGGGTGAGGGTGCTGCGTGCAGGCCCAGGTGCTGCGCGCGAGGGTGCGGAGTTGCTGGCGTGCAGGGTGCGTGCGCTGCGAAGAGGGGAGGGTGCCTGGGTGTTGCTGGAGGCTGTGCGAGGGTGCGGGTGTGGGCGTCGCGGGGTTCGGTGTGTGCGAAGGGAGAGCGTGGCCTGCGTGAGCGGGGAGCGCAAGGGAGGGTGTGCGACGTGGGAAAGGTGAGTGTGAGAGGCGTGCTGCGGGCAGGTGGGTGTCTGGAGTCTAGCGAGAGGCTGTGAGCTGAGCCGCTGGGACAGGGGAGGCTGCAGCGGGAGGTCCGGAGCGTTCGGAGGTCGGGGCGGGCCAAGGATCTCCCAGGGCAGGGCGAGCCTGGGGCTCGGGAGTGAGGTGGGTTCAGTTCCCTCCTTCCCCCCCTCCCTCCCTCCCTCTCTCCTGTCCTGACCTGAAAATCCCGAGTTTCCGCGTCATTCCCTGGGAGGGGCCCCCTGAAAGTGAACTAACAGGAAGGAAGCCTGAATCCCGGGTCCCAGGAGGGAGAGGTTCCTGTGATCACCTTCCAGGCCCTGGCGTCCCCTCTCCTCCCTGCTGTCTTCCTGCCCCAGCCTCTCTCCCTCTCTCCGTGTGTATTTGCCTCTGCCCTTCCTCTCTCCCCATCTTTGAGGCTGACTCAGCCCTCCAGATTTAGGTCCCTTCTCCCTCCTGGGAGTGGGTTTCCCTGAGCCCACTTCTGTGACACCCTGTAGACCTGGTGTGGGGTCATTACCTATGGGACCCAGGAAGAGTGAGAAACCATGAAAAGAAGACCTCGACCTGTCTCATGCCCATTTGACAGTCAGGTAAACTGAGGTCCAGAAGTGCCAATTGTAAAAATCCTTCTCCTCCTCCTCCTCCTTCTTTTTCTTCTTCTTCTTCTTTTTCCTGAGACTGAGCCTCACTTTGTTGCCCAGGCTGGAGTGCAGTGGCATAGTATCAACTCACTGCAACCTCTGCCGCCCAGATTCAAGCGATTCTCCTGCCTCAGCTTCCCGAGTAGCTGGGATTATAGGTGTCCACCACCACGCCTGGCTAATTTTTATACTTAGTAGAGGTGAGGTTTTGCCATGCTGGCCAGGCTGGTCTCGAACTCGTGACCTCAGGTGATCTACCTATCTGGGCCTCCCAAAGTGCTGGGATTACAAGCATGAGCCACCATGCCTGGCCGAAAATCCTTGTTTTTTGTTCCTACTAAAAAATTATACATCCAGGCCCACAAGGGACTTCAGCTCTACACACCCTTTCTGTCCCCAGTACGCAGGTCCCAATATTCTTTCAGTCCTTAAGACCAAAGTTCCCATCAACTCCTGTGTTGCCAGGACCATGGCTCCCAGCGTCCTCTCTGTCCTCAGAGCCCAAGCTTCTAACTGCCCCTGTGTCTCCAGGACCATAGCCCTGAGCAATTTCTTTCTTTTTCAGTTCTCAGCTTCCCAGCTTCTGTAGACTGGGGAAAGGATAATCTCTGATCTCCCTTCCAGGGCTCACATTCTATGACTTTTGCTAGATGAGAGAGGAGTGTTTGACATGCATTTGGGATACTGGTGCAAGGGGTAACTAGTAGTTGTCTTTTCCCACAGGAGCCAACAGGCCCCCTTGCTTGGGGCTCTGACAGATGTCTTCAGCTCCAGCTGAAGGGGAACCTTGGGAGATAACGGTTTGGTTCTCACTTGTCATCCTTAAGTCCCACCATTCCATCCCCGCCCACCCCCCACCGCCGAGACTGAGGCTTGCTCTGTTACCCAGGCTGGAGTGCAGTAGCACGGTCTCAACTCACTGCAACCTCTGCCCCCCAGGTTCAAGAGATGCAGGAGATCATGAGAGTAGTGGTCCTGACTGGTGCGTTGGCTGACGCCTGAAATCCCAGCACTTTGGGAGGCCCAGGCGGGCAGATCACTTGAGGTCAGAAGTTCAAGAACGGCCTGGCCAACACGGTGAAACCCCATCTCTACTAAAAAAAAAAAAAAAAAAAAAAAAGTTAGTCAGGTGTGGTGACACGTGCCTGTAATCCCAGCTACTCGGAAGGCTGAGGCATGAGAATCTCTCGAACCTGAGAGGTAGAGGTTGCAGTGAGCTGAGATCATGCCACTGACGCCAGCCTGAGTGACAGAGAAAGACTCAGTCTAAAACATATTAATAGTAGATAGAATAGTGGTCCTGTCCTTATCCTACTCCAGGGTACACTGTTCATTAGGGATTTAGTGCAAGTGACAGCAAGTCCAACCTAACTAGTTTGAGAGAAAGAGAACTGGTTCACGCATAACAGAAGGCCCCTGTATGGCTGGCTTTGGCAAAGTCTGCCAGTCTCTGTCCTAAGGATGCACAGCTCCCTTCCTCTAGCAAGATGGCTGGCAGATACCCCTGGGGCCAGATTCACATTTGGGGTGATTAAGATTCTGCAAGAGAGAGACAACCTTTATTTCACACAGATTTTCAATTGTTTCCTGTCCCTGATGAGACTCGGAGACCTAGCTCTTGCCTGGTTTCTAAACTTTCAATAACATCGTTTTTGCTTAAGTCAGCACAAACAGATTTTATTTCTTGCAACCAAAGATTCCTGAACAAAAACTTCAGAGCTATGAATAATGAGGTCCTGATCACAAGCTATGCTATAGGACATGAGAAATTTGTCCCTAGCCTCAATACCTGCTGGAGGGCATCATGGAATAAGTATTTCTATCCTCTGATCCCCACTGTAGGGCTCCATGGGATATATAACCCCAACCTTCAATCTCTGCCATAGGGTTTCATAGGCAGTGGGGTCCTAGCCTCAACATGTTGTAGGGAATCATGGGAAAGGTAAAGTCATCCTCAATTATAATACGGAGCATTTCAGAAAATGTCAGTTTAGCCTCATCTCTGCTGTAGGGCATCATGGGAGATATACTTCCAGCCCAATTTTTGTTGTAAGTCATCATAAAAGATGTAGTCTTTCCTTCCTTCCCTTTTTTCTTTTCTTTTTCTTTAAATTATTATTTATGTATTTATTTTTTGAAACGGAGTCTTGCTCTGTTGCCAGGCTGGAGTGCAATGGCACCATCTCAGCTCACTGCAACTTCTACCTCCCAGGTACAAGCGATTCTCCTGCCTCAACCTCCTGAGTAGCTAGGACTACAGGCACCTGCCACCACGCCCAGCTAATTTTTGTAATTTTTTTTAGTACAGATGGCATTTCACCGTGTTAGGCAGGATCATCTCCATCTCTTGACCTCATGATCTGCCTGCCTCGGCCTCCCAAAGTGCTGGGATTACAGGCGTGAGCCACCGCACCTGGCCTTTTTTTTTTTTTTTGAGACGGAGTTTCGCTCTTGTTACCCATCCTGGAGTGCAATGGCGCCATCTCGGCTCACCGCAACCTCCGCCTCCTGGGTTCAGGCAATTCTCCTGCCTCAGCCTCCTGAGTAGCTGGGATTACAGGCAAGCGCCACTATGCCCAGCTAATTTTTTGTATTTTTAGTAGAGACGGGGTTTCACCATGTTGACCAGGATGGTCTCGATCTCTCGACCTCGTGATCCACCCGCCTCGGCCTTCCAAAGTGCTGGGATTACAGGCTTGAGCCACCGCGCCCAGCCTTTTTTTTTTTTTTTTTTTTTTTTAACCGTAGATACAAGGCCTCTCGCTATGTTCCTCAGGCTGGTCTTGAACTTCTGGGCCCAACCAATTTTTCCTGCCTTGGCATCCCAAAGTGCTGGGATTACAGGCTTGAGCCATTGCACCAGTCCCTTCTCTCCTTTCTTTCTTCATCACCTATCATGTTCCAGGCACTAGGAATACAGTATCAAGTAAATAAAAGGCCTTGCCCTCCACGACAATTATAATGGGGAAAGTTAGTTAAAAACAAACAAAAATTACTGTTCCGTTTAACCATCAATGAATAACAAAATGCCCCAGAATGTAGTGGTGTGAAACAACAACCTTTTAATTTTATGATTCTGTGAGTCAGGAATTGGAGCAGGATTGGTGTGTATCTGCTTCATGATGAACCGAGGCCAAAAATGAACTAGCTGGAACAGCTGGAGGTGGAGGCAGGGGCACCGAGGGCCATATATCTAAGGCTGGTGGTTGGTGTTGTGGGTTTTGAATGATATCCCCCAACTAAAATATATATTGAAGTTCTAACCCCTGGTATCTGTACATGTGAACTTATTTGGAAATAAAGTCTTTGCAGATACAATTAGCTTTCTTGTTTCTTTGAGACTAAGCTTTGCTCTGTCACCCAAGCTGGAGTGCAGAGGCACGATCTCTGCTCACCGCACCCTTCACCTCCTAGGTTCAAAGGATCTTCCTACCTCAGCCTCCAAGTAGCTGGGATTACAGGCACGAGTCATCATGCCCAGCTGATTGTTATATTTTCAGTAGAAACGGAGTTTCACCATGTTGGCCAGGCTGGTCTCAAACTCCTCACCTCAAGTGATCTGCCCACCTCAGCCTCCCAAAGTGCTGGGATTACAGGAGTGAGCCACCTTACCTTACCCAAATCGGATTCACTTCTAACCCCTGGTATCTTTGCATGTGACTTTATTTGGAAATAAGGTCTTTTTTTTTTTTTTTTTTTTTTTAAGACTAAGTCTCACTGTTGACCCAGGCTGGAGTGCAATGGTGCGATCTCGGCTCACTGCACCCTCCACCTGCCAGGTTCCAGCAATTCTCCTGCCTCAGCCTCTCAAGTAGCTGAGATTACAGGCACCTGCCACCATGCCCGGCTAATTTTTGCATTTTTAGTAGAAATGGGGTTTCACCAGATTGGCCAGGCTGGTCTCAAACTCCCGACGTCAGGTGATCCACCTGCCTCGGCCTCCCGAAGTGCTGGGATTCCAGGCATGAGACCCTGAGACTTTAAAAGCATGGTTCTCACCCCGACACTGTAAAAGCATGGCTCTTCCCCTGAGACTTCAACACCTTGGTTTTGGACATGTAGCATTCAGAACTGTGAGAGAACAAGTTTCTGTTTGTTATTGTTGTTTTTGAGACAGAATCTTACTCTGTTGCCCAGGCTGGGGTGCAGTGGTGCAATCTCGGCTCCCTGTAACCTCTGCTTCTTGCATTCAAGCGATTCTCATGTCTCAGTCTCCCAAGTAGCTGGGATTACAGAAGAGCACCACCACAACCAGCTAATTTTTGTGTGTGTGTGTGTGTGTGTATTTTTTGTATTTTTAGTAGAGACAGGGTTTCACTGTGTTGGCCAGGCTGGTCTCAAACTCCTGGCCTCGAGTGATGTGACTGCCTTGGCCTCCCGAAGTGCTGGGATTCCAGGCTTGAACCACCACACCTGGCTCCATTTTCTGTGGTTTTAAGCCACCTAGTTTGTAAGATTTGTGTGTGTATGTTTTAAATTTTTTAAAAATTATTATGGATATATAATAGTTGTATATATTTATAGGACATATGTAATATGGTTTTGGGTTTTGTTTTGTTTTATTTTGTTTGGTTTGAGACAGAGTCTGGTCCCATTGCCCAGGCTGGAGTGCAGTGGTATGACCGTGGCTCACTGCAGTCTTGACCTCCTGGGCTCAAGTGATCCTCCTACCTCATCCTCCCATGTAATTAGGACTACAATCATGCCCCACCACATCTAGTTAATTTTTTAAATTTTTAGTAGAGATGAGGTCTCACTATGTTGCCGAGGCTGATCTTGAACTACTGAGCTTAAGAGATCTTCCTTCCTCACCCTCCCAGAGTGTTAGAACTACAGGCATGAGCCACTACACCTGTCCATTTGTGAGGTTTTGATGCAGGCACACAGTGTGTTAGTTTATAAAGTTTGTAATAATTTGTCACAGGCAGCCCTAGGAAACTAACATAGCTGAGTTTCCTGGTTCTTCTCTATATCACATCTGCTAGGGCTACATGTCTAAAGTGGCTTCTTCACCCACTTGTCTGGTGCCTGGGCTGAGATGGCTGAAACATCTGGGGCTCTGTCTCCACATGGCATTTATACATAAGTAGCTTGGGCTTCCTCGCAGCATGGTGGTCTCAGGGCAGTAGTACTTTTACATGGTAACTGGTTTCCCCAGAGTGAGTGTTCCAAGATTCAGAAAGTAAAAAACGATAGTTTCTTAAAGCTTGGTTCCAGAACATAGCACAGCAAAACTTCCACCACATTCTGCTGGTCAAAGCAGTCACAGGGTCACTTATATTCCAGAGGCAGAAATACAGACACCACGTCTTTAAGCCACCACAATGACAGGTGGTGACATGTGATTAGAGAAAGCCCTAAACAGGAACCCTGTCCCTCACTTGCCACCCAAATACCATGGAAGATGTCCTTTTTTTTTTTTTTTGAGATAAGAGTCTCGCTGTGTCACGTAGTGGTGTGATCTTGGCTCATTGTAACCTCTGCCTCCTGGGTTCAAGTAATTCTCCTGCTTCAGCCTTCTGAGTAGCTGGAATTACAGGCATCTGCCACCAAACCCGGTTAATTTTTGTAATTTTAGTAGAGATGGGGTTTCGCCATATTGGCCAGGCTGGTCTCAAGCTCCTGACCACAAGTGATTTGCCCACCTTGACTGCTCAGAGTGCTGGGATTACAGGCATGAGCCACCACAGCCAGCCGAAGATGTCTTACTTCTTTTTTCTTCATTAGCCACAAGGCTTCGTGGGAAATGTAATTTTTGTCTCCATGGATTGTCTCAGCAAATGATGGGAAGAAAGATGAGTTCTTCAATATTGTGCATCCCAGAGTGCCATTGAAATGGTAGTTCTCTTTTTCTTTTTTTATTTTTTTTATTTTTTTTTTGAGACGGAGTTTCGCTCTTGTTACCCAGGCTGGAGTGCAATGGCGCGATCTCGGCTCACCGCAACCTCCGCCTCCTGGGTTCAGGCAATTCTCCTGCCTCAGCCTCCTGAGTAGCTGGGATTACAGGCACACGCCACCATGCCCAGCTAATTTTTTTGTATTTTTAGTAGAGACGGGGTTTCACCATGTTGACCAGGATGGTCTCGATCTCTTGACCTCGTGATCCACCCACCTCGGCCTCCCAAAGTGCTGGGATTACAGGCTTGAGCCACCGCGCCCGGCTTTTTTTTTTTTTTTTTTTTTTTTTTTTCTGAAACGGAGTTTCGCTCTTGTTACCCAGGCTGGAGTGCAATGGCGCCATCTCAGCTCACCGCAACCTCCGCCTCCTGGGTTCAGGCAATTCTCCTGCCTCAGCCTCCCGAGTAGCTGGGATTACAGGCATGCGCCACCATGTCCAGCTGATTTTTTGTATTTTTAGTAGAGACGGGGTTTCACCATGTTGACCAGGATGGTCTCGATCTCTTGACCTTGTGATCCACCCGCCTTGGCCTCCCAAAGTGCTGGGATTACAGGCTTGAGCCACCGCGCCCGGCCGGTAGTTCTCTTTTTCTGACAGTCCTGAGGCATCCTGGGAAATAGAGCCCAGACTTTATCCCCTGTCCCCAGCACTTCAGGGGAAGTACACTCCTGTCCCCTGTCCTTATTCCTCACTGCAGTGCATGCTGGGAATTCTGGCCGTCAGCTTATCGTCTCTCTGTCTCCTGTCCCAAAGCATGCTGGGAAATGTGGGCATGTCTCCTTGGAACAATAAAATAGTTGCAACTGTTGAAGTCTGGGAGCCGTAAGACCGGAAGGTTTAGTGTTCAGTAGGTGAGTTGGAAGGTTGCATTTGGAAGAATTAAAGAAAGAGGAGGCAGGGCGCGGTGGCTCATGCCTGTAATCACAGCACTTTGAGAGGCCGAGGCAGGTGGATCACCTGAGGCTGGGAGTTCAAGACCAGCTTGACTAATATGGAGAAACCCCATCTCTACTACAAACACAGAATTAGCCGGGTGTAGTGGCACATGCCTGTAATCCCAGCTACTCAGGAGTCTGAGGCAGGAGAATCGCTTGAACCTGGGAGGCGGAGAGCTGAGATCGCAGGATTGCACTTGCAGCCTGAGCAACAAGAGTGAAACTCCGTCTCAAAAAAAAAGAAGCCGGGTACAGTGGCTCACACCTGTAATCCCAACACTTTGGGAGGCTGAGGTGGGTGGATCACCTGTGGTCGGGAGTTTGAGAGCAGCCTGACCAACATGGAGAAACCCTGTCTCTACTAAAAATACAAAATTAGCTGGGCATGATGGCACATACCTGTAATCCCTGTAATTCCAGCTACTCCAGAGGCTGAGGCAGGAGAATCACTTGAACCCGGGAGACGGAGGTTATGGTGAGCCAAGATCACACCGTTGCACTCCAGCCTGAGCAACAAGAGTGAAACTCCATTTAAAAAAAAAAAAAAAAAAAAAAAAGACAATAAATTAGCTTGACAGTTAAAGACAGGCTTATTTTAGACAAAACAAACCTGAGAGGGGCTTTTGGCTAAGTTTGGTTAAAGAGCCTTCTTTTTTTCAGACTAAGGGTATGTAAGGGTTTTGGAATCGGGCGATTACTGTAGGTTCGGAATGTTTTCATGTGAGGGAAAGTTTGTTGCAGGGGTTGGAATGTCTCTGGTTGGATGGGAGGCTATCTCAGCATTGGCATGCTTCTGGTCAGAGAGGGGTTTATCCTAGGGTTGGAATGTTTCTAGTTATGCTGACATTAGCCATTAGGCTGATGTTTTGGGGCTGGATTTAGCTGGTTTTTAATCAAGGGGAACTTAGAATGGTGATGTTTGTTCAAGAAGGTGACGCTCCTGTTCTGGCAGCATTTGGAGGCCAGAAATAGATGTGGAGGCAGCCCCCACAGGGACTTCCAACCTAGGCAGGGTCCTCAGACGTGACCCCTGATTCCAGGAGCCTGTGGAAAGGTGTCCCCCACCATTTATTCTCCCAAAGATAAGACACTACAAAGAAAGGCAGCCCTGGCCTTGTTCACTGGTACAAAATCTTTATTTCAGTAATAAATAAATAATAGGAATATTAATTAATAATAGCAACAATAACAACACCACAACAGACACAACAGCGGCAACAATATTAATAATAATGAAAGCTCTTCCACTGGCCCACAACCTTCCTCCAGCTTTTCTCTTCTGCTTCACACAACTTGGTGAGATAGGTATTTTCACAGCTGGGAAAACTGAGGACCCAGAGAGGTCAGCACACTGGCCTGAGGTCACACAGCAAGTCTGTAGGGTTGGGAGCTGAGGGAAGCGCAAAGGGTCCCCCTGGATCCAGCCAGGGCAGAGAAGGGGGTTTCAGGTTTAGGTCCAGAGTAGAGTGCCTCCCCACAGTCTGGCGGTCATCAGCCCAGTGACGGTAAGGCTGAGATGAGCGGGGCCAGGCTGGGGAGCGGCTTCACTGCGGCGCTGGATATCCTTGGCTGGGTCATTACAGTCATTTTCAGTACAGCAGGAGACGTCAATGTGGTTCATGACGAAGGCGTCACTCACGTGGTCACGTTGGCACATTGAAGAGGTTGCACAGCCTCTTACCACGTAGCTTTTCTTTAGCGGTTCTGAGGAAAGAGGAGACTGGAGTGAGACTTCCAGCTCCTGGGCCCAGGACTAGAATTCTCTGGTAGATGACCTGCCAACTTGTGGTGGGTCCCACCTTCACTCCCACCTAGAGGAAGCAGCAGTTCTCAGGCCTAGGCACAGTGGCTCACACCTGTGATCTCAACACCTTGGGAAGCGGAGGAGAGAGGAGAGCTTGAGCCCAGGAGTTCCAGACCAGCCTGGACAACATAGCAAAACCCTGTCTCTACAAACATTAAAAAAAAACCTGTAGCCCCAGCTACGCGGGAGGCGGAGGTGAGACGATCCCTTGAGCTCAGGAGATTGAGGCTGTGGTGGGCTATGATTGCACCACTGCATTTCAGCCTGGGCTGAGTGAGACCTGTCTCAAAAAAAAAAAAAAAAAAAAAAAAAAAAACGGAGAGAGAAAGCCGTGGTTCTTAAAGTGTGGCTTAGGAACCCCTGAGACCCTTTCAGGAGATCTGTGAAATCAAAATTATTCTCATAATAATACTAAAACATATGGCTTTTTCAGTCTCCTAAGTGTATAATGGAGTTTTCCAAAACCTCCAGAACATGTAATATTGCAACAGACTGAAAGCAGAAGCTTCCATGAGGACCCAGCTGTCTTCTATTAAGCTGGACATCAAAAAGATGTGCAACACAGCGAAATACAGCTACTTTTCTCATTACTTTTTTTTGTGTGTGTGTGAGACACTGTCTCACTCTTGCCCAGGCTACAGTGCAGTGTTGCAGTCTCGGTTCATTGCAACCTCCACCTCCCAGGCTCAGGTGATCCTCCCACCTCAACCTCCCAAGTAGCTGGGACTACAGGCACGTACCACCATGCCCAGCTAATTTTTGTATTTTTTGTATAGACAGGATTTTGCTATGTTGCCCAGGCTGGCCTCAAATTCCTGGGCTCAAGTGATCCACCCACCTTGGCCTCCCAAAGTCCTGGGATTACAGGCGTGAGCCACCATGCCTGGAGGTCATTACATCTTTTCTTTGGAAACTATAGTCATTTTTCATAAGAATATTACTTATGCTAATGTGTAATGAGTTTTTATTGTTATAAGATGAATTCATAAGTAAATCTTTAAAGATTTTGGCTGAGCACGGTGGTTCACGCCTGTAATCCCAGCACTTTGGAAGGCTGAGCTGGGCAGATGACAAGGTCAGGAGATGCAGATCATCCTGCCTAACGTGGTGAAACCCTATCTCTACTAAAAATACAAAACTTAGCTGGGTGTGGTGGCGCATGCCTGTAATCCCAGCTACTCAGGAAGCTGAGGCAGGAGAACTGCTTGAACCTGCGAGTCAGAGGTCGCAGTGAGCCAAGATCACGCCACTGCACTCCAGCCTGGCGACAGAGCAAGATTTCATCTCAAAAAAAAAAAAAAAGATTTCTCAGTTTTAATTTTTAATATGGCATTTATCTATAGAAATCACTGACATAAATAATAAACAACAAATTTTGTTTTGTTTTTTGTTTTTTTTTGAGACGGAGTTTCGCTCTTGTTACCCAGGCTGGAGTGCAATGCCGCGATCTTGGCTCACGGCAACCTCCGCCTCCTGGGTTCAGGCAATTCTCCTGCCTCAGCCTCCTGAGTAGCTGGGATTACAGGCACACGCCACCACACCCAGCTAATTTTTTGTATTTTTAGTAGAGACAGGGTTTCACCATGTTGACCAGGATGGTCTCGATCTCTTGACCTCGTGATCCACCCTCCTCAGCTTCCCAAAGTGCTGGGATTACAGGCTTGAGCCACCGCGCCCGGCCCACAATTTTTTTTGAGACAAAGTCTCATTCTGCCATCTAGGCTGGAGTACAGTGGTGCAATCTCCACTCACTGTAACCGCCTCGTCCTGGGTTCAAGAGATGCTTGTGCCTCAGCCTCCTGAGTAGCTGGGGTTACAGGTGTGGGACAGCACGCCCAGCTAATTTTTGTATTTGTTTGTAGAGACAGGATTTCACCACATTGGCCAGGCTGGTCTCATACTCCTGACCTCAAGTGGTCCACCACCTCGGCCTCCCAAAGTGCTGGGATTACAAGTGTGAGCCACCATGCCTGGCCAGCAATAATTTTTAAGAGCATGAAGGAGTTGAGACCAAAGACCTTAAGAACCACTGGAATACAGAGGCCTTTCCAGGACGTCACAGGACCAAAGCCTGAGATGTCTTCAGCAAATCCACCAGCCCACAAGAAATCTTGCCACCAAAGAATTCCACCTTTTTTTTTTCTTTTTTCTTTTTGTAAAGTTGGGGATCTTGCTATGTTGCCTGGGCTGGTCTCAACCTCCTGCCCTCAAGAGATCCCCTGGTCTCAGCCTCCCAAAGTGCTGAGAGTACATGCTTGAGCCACCACACCCAGCCTGGATTCCACTTTCCTATGGCAAAAACGTTTATATTCTGATGGATAAGTCCTAATTCCTTACAACAATATCCACCCACCTGAAGAAAATCCCACCTTTTCCACAGGGAGATCCACCACAGTTAAGTCCAGCTTAACTGGAAGTCAGTCTCTTGGAGAACGTTCTACCCCCAGTAAGTATCCCCTCTCAGCCTCGGAAAGGGCCTCACCGTAAATGCCAGTGGCTTCTAGACATTGGTTCATGGGGCCTCGGCAGTCAATGAGGACAGTGTTTTCAGAGGAACATCCATGGGTGCTGTTCCCCTGGCAGCTGTAACACCGGTGGCCATTCTTCGGCAGATTTGCAAGTGACAGGACTTAGGAGAAGACCAGAGACACAGAGACCAAGAAAATTAGTGCCTGGATCCCCGCTTCCTTGAATGACTTCCCCAGGACTCCCACTCGGAGCCAGAGATGTCTTGGAGCCACCTTGTGGTCAGGCATCTGAATGGCATTTGGAGCGGGGATGGTTTTCCAGGGCTTGAGAGAAACCTCAACCTTTTTTTTTTTTTTTTTTTTTTTGTTGAGCTGAAGTCTCACTCTGGTCCCATGCTGGAGTGCAGTGGTGCAATCTCGGCTCACTGCAACCTCCACCTCCCAGGTTCAAGTAAGTCTCTTGCCTCAGCCTCCTGAGTAGCTGGGATTACAGGCGTAAGCCAAAATGCCCAGCTAATTTTCGTTTTTAGTTTTAATTTTTATTATGTTTTTAGTTTTTATGTTTTTATGTTTCCTGACCTTGTGATCTGCCTGCCTCGGCCTCCCAAAGTGCTGGGATTACAGGTGTGTGCCACTGTACCTGGCCAGAACTTACAAGTTATTACTATTATTATTACTAAAAAATTTTTTTTGAGATGGGGTCTTGCTATGTTGCCCAGACTTGTCTCAAACTCCTGGCCTCAGGTGATCCTCCCACCTCCAAAAATGCTGAGATTACAGGTGTGAGCCACTGCCTCCAGACAGAATTCACAGTTTAGAGCTACACTAGCCAATCTGGTAGCCACTGGGCACATGTGGTTGTTTAAATTTAAATATATTAATTTTTTTTTTTTTTTTTTTTTTTTTTGAGACGGAGTTTTGCTCTTGTTACCCAGGCTGGAGTGCAATGGTGCAAATTTGGCTCACCACAACCTCTGCCTCCTGGGCTCAGGCAATTCTCCTGCCTCAGCCTCCTGAGTAGCTGGGATTACAGGCACGCAGCACCACGCCCAGCTAATTTTTTGTATTTTTAGTAGAGATGGGGTTTCACCATGTTGACCAGGATGGTCTCGATCTCTTGACCTCATGATCCACCCGCTTCAGCCTCCCAAAGTGCTGGGATTACAGGCTTGAGCCACCGCGCCCGGCAAATATATTAATATTAATTGAATCTTAAAATTCAGTTCACATTTCAAGTGCTCACTGACTACAATCTCCACCTCTTGGGTTCAAGCAATTCTCCTGCATCAGCCTCCTGAGTACCTGGGATCACAGGCGCCAGAATAGACCACATATAGTAGTGGCTGTTAATATGGGACGGCACAGATATGGAACATTTCTATGTGTTGACAGTGCTGGGTAATAGAGATAGGGATCTAGATTACACTGGAGGGAGGGACAGTGAAAGTGTCCCTGAAGATGATACATTAAAGCTAAGGCCTCCCAGTACTTTGGGAGGCCGAGGTGGGCGGATCACCTGAAGTTGGGAGTTCAAGACCAGCCTGACCAACATGGAGAAATCCCATCTCTACTAAAAATATAAAATTAGCCGGGCGTGGTGGCTCAAGCCTGTAATCCCAGCACTTTGGGAGGCCGAGGTGGGTGGCTCAAGCCTGTAATCCCAGCACTTTGGGAGGCCGAGGTGGGTGGATCACGAGGTCAAGAGATCGAGACCATCCTGGTCAACATGGTGAAACCCCGTCTCTACTAAAAATACTAAAAATTAGCTGGGCATGGTGGCGTGTGCCTGTAATCGCAGCTACTCAGGAGGCTGAGGCAGGAGAATTGCCTGAACCCAGGAGGTGGAGGTTGCAGTGAGCCAAGATGGCACCACTACACTCCAGCAGGTGACAGAGCAAGACTCCATCTCAAATAAAAAAAGAAAGAAACTAATTCCAGCACTTTGGGAGGCCAAGGCAGAAGCATTGCTTGAGCCTGGGAGTTTGATACCAGCCTGGGCAAATAGTAACATCACATCTCTACAAAAGTTTTAAAAATTTAAAGCCGGGCGCGGTGGCTCAAGCCTGTAATCCCAGCACTTTGGGAGGCTGAGGCGGGTGGATCACGAGGTCAAGCGATCGAGACCATCCTGGTCAATATGGTGAAACCCCGTCTCTACTAAAGATACAAAAAAATTAGCTGGGCATGGTGGCACGTGCCTGTAATCCCAGCTACTCAGGAGGCGGAGGCAGGAGAATTGCTTGAACCCAGGAGGCGGAGGTTGCGGTGAGCCGAGATCGTGCCATTGCACTCCAGCCTGGGTAACAAGAGCGAAACTCTGTCTCAAAAAAATAAAAAAATAAAATAAATAAATAAATAAAAATAAAAATTTAGGCCGGGCATGGTGGCTCATACCTGTGTAACCCCAGCGCTTTGGGAGGCCGAGGTGGGCAGATCAACTGAGGTCAGGAGTTCGAGACCATCCTGGCCAACATGGTGAAATCCTGTCTCTACTAAAAATACAAAAAAATTAGCCTGGTGTGGTGGCATTCGCACGTAGTCCCAGCTACTCAGGTGGCTGAGGCAGGAGAATCGCTTGAACCCAGGAGGTGGAGGTTGCAGTGAGTTCTGGCAGCCATTTTGGACTACGAAGCATTTTGAGAATGGAAGTGATGTGTAAGAGACGAGATTGTGCCACTGCACCCCAGCCTGGGTGACAGAGTGAGACTCCGTCTCAAAAAAAATAAAAACTTTAGCTGGGTACGGTGATGCACATCTGTAGTCCCAGCTCCTTGGGAAGCTGAGGTGGGAGGATCACTGGAGCCCAGGAGTTTGAGGCGGTGCTGAGCCGTGACTGCGCCACTGCAACCCAGCCTTGGCGACAGAGTGAGACCCTGTGTCTAAAGAAAACACAAAACCCTCAAAACCAAACTAAACTGAACAAAGACCTGAGGCAGACAGGTGCCAAATTACATAGGTCATAGTAAGACCTTTGGATCTTATCCTAAGAGGAAGGGGAAGTCATTGAAGTGCCTGAGAAAGGAGAGTGACATGATCTGATTTACGTTAAAAACCAAAAAATTGGCAGTGCAGGGTGGCTTACACCTGTAATCCCAATGCTTTGGGAAGCTGAGCCCAGGAGTTTGTAACCAGCCTGGGCAACATAGCAAGACCCTGTCTCTATCAAAAATACAAAAATAGCTGGTTGTGGTGGCGTGCACCTGTAGTCCCAGCTACTCCAGTGGCTTAGGTGGGAGGAACTCCTGTGCCCAGGAGTTTGAGACTGCATTGAGCCATGATCACACCAGTGCACTCCAGCCTGGGTGACACAGTGGGACCCTGTTCCCCCACCCCCACCCTGCCCCCCCAAAATCACTCTCTGCTGGGTTGAGCCTTGGCTGTAAGGTGGCAGGAGTGGAAGCAAGGGGATCAGAGAGGAGGTCATTGCAACAACCTGGGCAAGAAGTCAGCGTGGCTCAGCCCAGGTGGTGGCAGTGGAGGTGGTGAGGAGTGGGAGGATTGGAGAGAAACAAAAGAGATGGGAAGCTCTGTCACCAGGCTGGAGTGCAGTGGGGCGATCTCGGCTCACTACAACCTCCACCTCCCAGGTTCAAGCAATTCTCCTGCCTCAGCCTCCAGAGCAGCTGGGACTACAGGCACATGCCACCATGCCTGGCTAATTTTTGTATTTGTAGTAGAGACAGGATTTCACCATGTTGGCCAGGATAGTCTGGATCTCCTGATCTCATGATCCACCTGCCTCAGCCTCCCAAAGTGCTGGGATTATAGGCATGAGCTACCGTGCCCAGCTAGTCTCACTGAATTATTATTTTTAGTAGAGATGGGGTTTCACTATGTTGGCCAAGCTGGTCCCGAACTCCTGACCTCAAGTGATCTGCCTGCCTCGGCCTCCCAAATTTTGCTGGGATTACAGGTGTGAGCAAAATTCTTCTTTGAAGAAAGGCCTAGCCAGTCTCGGTGGCTCATGCCAGTAATCCCAGCACTTTGGGAGGCCGAGGCAGATGGATCACTTGAGGTCAGGAGTTCAAGACCAACCTGGCCAACATGGTGAAATCCCGTCTCTACTAAAAATACAAAAATTAGCCAGGCATGGAGGCGGGTGCCTGTAATCCCAACTACTCGGGAGGCTAAAGCAGGAGAATCGCTTGAACCCGAAAGGCAAAGGTTGCAGTGAGCAGAAATCCAGCCACTGCACTCCAGTCTGGGCAACAGAGTTAAGACTCCATCTCAAAAAAAAAAAAAAAAAAAAAAAAGGCCTGATACTCCAATTTTTCAGAAAAGGAAACAGAGGCCCAGGGGGGAGCTGACTGCCTGAGAGTGACTGCACTGTCTGCCTGCGTGCAGGCCCCTGCCCGACCCCACGCCTTGCCCATGTCTCTCATTCCTTACTTGGGCCCCCGTTGCATCTGGTGGTGTTGCAGCACTTCAGGAAGTGGAAGGTGTCTTCACTGTGGAAACCAGCGATGCCTGGGCAGCCAGGAAGGTAGCCACAGCCGCGGATATGGTGGTCATCTCTTGGATGCCCTACAGGGTCCAGGGGACAAAGATCAGATGTCAGATTGTGCATCAGAAACTAAGATGGGATTTGCCCACCATAGCAGGCATTCAGCCATTCTCTACTTCACCCTTCATCATAGGACCCTCATTTTATCTAGGACAATCACAGATCTTGTCGAAAACGACATATTCCTGCCTCTGTAGGTACAGTCATGTGATGAAATTCAGATCAATGTGATATAAATAGAAGTGCTTTAAGGGACTTCCACAAAGGAGAACCCTTACAAAAGGAGTAGTGTCCCGTTTTCTGTCCCTTTTCTTCTTCCTCCTTTCTGGAACTTACATGTGAGGCCTGGAGCTCTGGCAGCCATTTTGGACTATGAAGCATTTTGAGAATGGAAGTGATGTGTAAGAAACGAGAAGGTGGCCGGGCGCGGTGGCTCAAGCCTGTAATCCCAGCACTTTGGGAGGCCGAGGCGGGTGGATCACGAGGTCGAGAGATCGAGACCATCCTGGTCAACATGGTGAAACCCCGTCTCTACTAAAAGTGCAAAAAATTAGCTGGGCATGGTGGCACGTGCCTGTAATCCCAGCTACTCAGGAGGCTGAGGCAGGAGAATTGCCTGAGCCCAGGAGGCGGAGGTTGCGGTGAGCCGAGATTGCGCCATTGCACTCCAGCCTGGGTAACAAGGGCGAAACTCCGTCTCAAAAAAAAAAAGAAAAGAAAAGAAAAAAGAAACGAGAAGGCAGCCAGGTGTGGTGGCTCACACCTGTAATCCCAGCACTTTGGGAGGCCGAGGCAGATGGATCACGAGGTCAGGAGTTAGAGACCAGCCTGACCAACATGGTGAAACCATCTCTTCTAAAAATACAAAGCTTAGCCAGGCACGGTGGTGACACACACCTATAGTCCCAGCTTCTCAAGAGGCTGAGGCAGGAGAATCACTTGAACCCTGGAGGCAGAGATTGCAGTGAGCCAAGATTGCACCATTGCACTCCAGCCTGGGCAACACAGCAAGACTCCATCTCAAAAACAAAACAAAACAAAACAAACAAAAAACCCGAGAAGGCATCTGGGTTCCTGGTGACCCTGGAACTGTCTTTGTTCCTGGACTTCCTATCACTCGACTTCTTGTGCATGAGAGAGCTTTGTCACTTGCTGACATCTCTGTCACTTTGGGGTTGTTGTTAAGTGCAGTCTTGGGGAAGAGCAGAGCATGGAGGAGTTCCAGCAGGTTGGGGCTCACCTTCCTCAGCTTCCAAGGTCCGGTGGGTCACCACATCCAGGCAGTGTTCTTCAGGGGTGGTGCATTGCAGGTTCTGGTGCCGGCCCCTCTCACAGCTCATGTCTGATGAGCCACAGGAAATGCATTCCAGGAAACGGCTTCGGGGAAAGGTGACAGCCGGGCCTGTTTGGAAGAGGAGCAGGGGAGTGAGACTCCGTGCGGACAGTCCTGGAGCTCCAGCTCTGCAAGGACTCGCTCGGCATCTGTTCCTCCTTATCCCCTCCTGCAGCCAGTCATCGAGCGCTGCCGATTCTGCCTGCTGAGTCTTTCTAGAATCCACCCCCTCCTTTCAGCCCCATGGCCCAGTCCAGCTCAGATCTCCTTCAACTCCAGCTACCTCCCTAGCCTCTGGGTTTCCATTCTTGTCACCCACCCCACTCACTCCAGTGCAGCATTCCCACATGGTCCTAAAAGTACATTTCTTTCCTTTTTTTTTTTTTTTTTTTGAGAGGGAGTCTCACTGTGTCACCCAGGCTGGCATGCAGTGGTGCAGTCTTGGCTCACTGCAACCTTCGCCTCCTGGGTTCAAGCGATTCTCCTGCCTCAGCCTCCCGAGTAGCTGGGATTTCAGGCGCTTGCCACCACACCTAGCTAATTTTCGTATTTTTAGTAGAGATATGGTTTCACCATGTTGGTCAGGCTGGTCTCGAACTCCTGACCTCAAATGATCCACCTGCCTTGGCCTCCCAAAATGCTGGGATTACAGGTGTGAGTCACCAAGTCCGGCCTTCTCCCCCTCCCCACCCCAAGACAGAGTCTCACTTTGTCACCTAGGCTGCAGGTTCATAAAGGATCCTGAGCCACAACCACCTGCCTAAGGCACTCCAGGGTTTTTGACCTTCAGAAACTTTGTGAAATAACGCATTCTTATTTTAGTGCTGCAATCTGTAAGGCAGCAATAGATAATAGATAAGCAATAGATAATACACTACCTAATCGTCCCTGGGATCAAAGACTCACTTGGCTGATTTGTGGTCACTTTGCCTTTTGCACGGACCTCGTGGTGTCGGCCAGCTGGATCTGTTACTTTTCCCTGGAAATACCAGAGTCATTCCTCTGCCCAGGCCTTGGCTCACACCATTTCCCATGCTTGGCATGCCCTCCCCATCCTGACCCAAGACACATCTGAGCTGAGTCCAGGCCAAGTCCTAAAAAAGTGAGAGGACCATGTCGGCCAAGGCTCTCAACTGGCAAGGCTTTAGCTGTAATTAGGCAAATCATTTACATCCAAAGCCCCGCCGTCTCCCTCAAAGAAAAATAACTACAAGGCCAATAACCCATGTCTTCTCACACAAACTTCCATGAAAGTGAAAACGCAAAATCTCATCTTTGCCAAAGTAGCTGTTCGCACCTAGAACACCTTTTTCTTGTGCCCTACTTTCTCTAACTCCTACTCATTCTTCAGTTTCACCTGTCATCTTCAATTTCACCTCCTCTAGGAAGCCCTCCCTGACCCATCCAGCTGGGACACATGCCTACTTTGAGCTCCCACTGCCCCCTGGACTCCCCATTTCCAGTCCTGCCCACTCTGGGTGGTCACTCATGGGTCTCCTGTGTAAACTCTCCCTCTTCTTTTTTTTTTTGACACGGAGTCTGGCTCAGTTGCCCAGGCTGGAGTGCAGTGATGTGATCTCAGCTCACTGCAACCTCTACCTCCTGGATTCAAGTGATTCTCCTGCTTCAGCCTCCTGAGTAGCTTCGATTACAGGCACCCACCACCATGCCTGGCTAATTTTTGTATATTTTTTTAGTAGAGACGGGGTTTTGCCATGTTGGTCAGGCTGGTCTCGAACTAACTCCTAATCTCATGATCTGCTTGCCTTGGCCTCCCAAAGTGCTGGGATTACAGGTGTGAGCCACCGCACCTGGTTGTGTGAATTCTTTTTATGCCACTGTTCTAAATGACAATGAGCCTCAGAGTTACTTTCTTTTCTTTCTCTCTCTCTTTTTTTGAGACAGGGTCTTGCGCTGTCCCCAAGGCTGGAGTGCAGTGGCACAATCATGGCTCACTGCCATCTCGACCTCCCTGAGCTCAAGTGATTCTCCCATCTCAGCCCACCGAGTAGCTGGGACTGCAGGTGTGTGCCACAACACCCGGCTAATTTTTGTATTTTCTATAGAGATGAGGTCTTGCCGTGTTGCCCAGGCTAGTCTCAGATTCCTGGGCTCAAACGATCCTCCCGCTTCAGCCTCCCAAAGTGCTGGGATTATGGACCTGAGCACCGCACCTGGCCAGGCTCTGTTTTAAGCCCTTTTTTATTTCTCACAGTATAGACTCTCCCATGGGGCAAATATCAGTTGACATGACTTCACTTCCGTCCATCTGCTCATCACTCACAAATGTCTCTCTGGTTCAGACTTGTCTAGGAGCTCCAGACCTATGCATGCAACTCTCTTTGATGCCCCATGGCTATAACTCAAACACCTGTTTCAAATGAAATTCCCTGTCTTCTCCCACAACTGATCCTTTCCTTGAAGTCCACTTGTCTGAGGCAGCCCCATCCAGTCCCCAGGGCAGAAACCCGGCAGACCCCTTGCTCCTCCCCATCTGTACATCAATCCACTCGCTTCTACTGTTCCGTCTTCTAGTTCTTTCATCCTTTTCCTCTGCTGTGTCTGACCTCTATCAAGCACATCTGCAGAGTTCTTCACTTGAGTCACTGTTCTACATTTTCTGCTGGACTCTTTTAAAACACAGATTCCAGGTGCTAAAACTTACCCTTTCCTCTGTCGTCCTAATATATTGATTGCAGCAGTTTTCATGTGTCCTGTCATATAATCCACTATCTGAGTCACTACAACTCTGTTTCTAGGGTTGGATTTTGCTCTTGGTTTCTGGTCAATTGGTCCTTTTTATTTTCTTCAGAAAACCTTGTAAAGTTTTTTTTTTTTTTTTTTTTTTAATTTTTTTTTGAGACGGAGTTTTGCTCTTGTTACCCAGGCTGGAGTGCAATGGCGCGAACTCGTCTCACTGCAACCTCCGCCTCCTGGGTTCAGGCAATTCTCCTGCCTCAGCCTCCTGAGTAGCTGGGATTACAGGCACGCGCCACCATGCCCAGCTAATTTTTTTGTATTTTTAGTAGAGACGGGGTTTCACCATGTTGACCAGGATGGTCTCGATCTCTTGATCTCGTGATCCACCCACCTTGGCCTCCCAAAGTGCTGGAATTACAGGCTTGAGCCACCGCGCTTGGCTTTTTTTTTTTTTTTTAAGAGATGGGGTCTGGCCGGGCGCGGTGGCTCACGCCTGTAATCCCAGCACTTTGGAAGGCCGAGGCGGGTGGATCACGAGATCAAGAGATCGAGACCATCCTGGTCAACATGGTGAAACCCCATCTCTACTAAAAATACAAAAAAATTAGCTGGGCATGGTGGCGCGTGCCTGTAATCCCAGCTACTCAGGAGGCTGAGGCAGGAGAATTGCCTGAACCCAGGAGGCGGAGGTTGCAGTGAACCGAGATCGCGCCATTGCACTCCAGCCTGGGTAACAATAGCAAAACTCCGTCTCAAAAAAAAGAGATGGGGTCTTATTATGTTGTCCAGGCTGGTGTACAGTGGCTACTCACAGGCATAATCCTGCTACTGATTAGCACAAGAGTTTTGACCTGCTCTATTTCTGACCTGGGCTACTTCAACCCTGCCTTAGACAACCTGGTGGTCCCCTGTTCCTGGGAGATCACCATATTGATACCAAACTTAGTGCAGACACCCGATTGATATAGCACACGACAGCACAGAACTCTCAGGCTCAAGCAATCCTTCCAAGTGGTTGGGACTACAGACGTGCGCCACCATGCCTGGTTATCTTGTAAGTTTTGATCACATGCCAGACATTATAGATAAAAATCTGTCAAGGGCCTAAATGATGTTTTCTTCTTCCAGAGTCAGGTTTTCATTCCTGTCAAGGATTGGACCTAGGCTTGTTTAAAGCTGGTCTATTTCACATTGGCCCTTACCCCTAGGATGGTCTTGAGGGGAGAGCCTGAGGTGCTTACCAAGGCTTCTCCAGCTTGGCAACCTGTGTCCCCAGCATCACATGCCTGCTGGAAGCCTTGCTCGCTTTTGTAGCTTCCCAGTTACTATTTTTCTCTTCCAAGTTTCTTGGACTCTCACCCTGTGCATGTACAGCTTGCCAATGACTTGAGGGAGATTTGTTTGCAGATTGGGGACTCCCTTTTCTGTGGTCCCATCCATTCCAGGATTTTAACTCTCATCCTCCAGACATTCTGGCAGCCCCAAACTCCAACCTCCGTCTTCTCAGTCTAGCGACTCTCTTTCCGTCTGGGCTCTCTTTCCCTTCCACAGCAGCAGGTTGGCAAGTGCCCTCCGGGAAAAAGCCAGGTTGTCTGTGGGACCCACGCTCTACGCCTTGCTTATTTCAGAGGTGGTAGCAGCTCAAGTTTCTCCTTTCCTTTCTTTTTTTTTTTTTTCTTGAGACGGAGTCTCACTCTGTCGCCCAGGCTGGAGTGCAGTCATGCAATCTTGGCTCACTGTAACATCTACCTCCCGGTTCAAGCGATTCTTGTACCTCGGCCACCTAAGTAGCTGGGACCACAGGCACATGCCACCATACCTGGCTAACTTTTGTATTTTTAGTAGAGATGGGGTTTCGCCATGTTGCCCAGGCTGGTCTTGAACTCATGAGCTCAAACAATTCGCCTGCCTTGGCCTCCCAAAGTGCTGGGAGTACAGACATGAATGAGCCACTTCGCCCAGCCAAGTCTCTCCTTTCATTTGCGGCTCTCCAGTGACTTCCAATAATTGTTTATTATTTGTCCAGCATTCGTAACTATCGTTGGCAGAAGCGTGGTCTGATTCAAGTGACTCCATCATGACCAGAATTGCAGGTCCCCCGTTCACATAATCCACCACCAAGGCCTGCTTCTAAATAGCTTTTTTTTTTTTTTTTGGCTTTTGTTGAGACAGGGATTTGCTCTGCTGCCCAGGCTGGAGTGCAGTGGTGTGATCACAGCTCACTGCAGCCTCCAACTCCTGGGCTCAAGCAATCCTCCTGCCTCGGCCTTCCAAAGTGCTGGGATTACAGGCGTGAGCCACTGTGCCTAGCCTGAATAGCTCTTAAATCCATCCACTTCTCTTCCTCTGAACACCTGACACTCTAGTCCTGCTGCCCTCCTCTCTACCTTTCTTTCTTTTTTTTTTTTTTTTTTTTTTGAGACGGAGTTTCGCTCTTGTTACCCAGGCTGGAGCGCAATGGCGCCATCTCGGCTCACCGCAACCTCCGCCTCCTGGGTTCAGGCAATTCTCCTGCCTCAGCCTCCCGAGAAGCTGGGATTATAGGCACGCACCACCATACCCAGCTAATTTTTTGTATTTTTAGTAGAGACGAGGTTTCACCATGTTGACCAGGATGGTCTCGATCTCTTGACCTTGTGATCCACCCACCTCGGCCTCCCAAAGTGCTGGGATTACAGGCGTGAGCCACCGCGCCCGGCCGCTTCCTTTCAATCTATCTTCTGTTCTGTGGTCAGAATAATTTGTTTAAAATGTAAATGAGGAACGGGCTCATGCCTGTAAACCTAGCACTTTGGGAGGCCAAGGCGGGCAGATCACGACGTCAAGAGTTCGAGACCAGACTGGCCAACATGGCAAAACCCCTCACTACTAAAAATACAAAAAAACTAGCCAGGTGTGGTGCCAGGCGCCTGTAATCCCAGCTACTGGGATAACTGGAGTGCAGTGGCATGAGCTCGGCTCACTGCAACCTCCACCTCCCAGGTTCAAGCAATTCTCCTGCCTCAGCCTCCCGAGTAGCTGGGATTACAGGCACCTGCCACTATGCCCGGATAACTTTTTGTATTTTTTGTAAAGAAGGGGTTTCACCATGTTGGCCAGGCTGGTCTTGACTCCTGACCTCATGATCGGCCCCCCTTGGCCTCCCAAAGTGCTGGGATTACAGGTGTGAGCCACTGCGCTCAGCCTTTTTTCTTTTTTTGATAGGATCTCGCTCTGTCACTCAGGCTGGGGTACAGTGGTACAATCATAGCCCACTGCAGCCTCCACCACCTGGGCTCAAGTGATCCTCCTGGCTCAGCCTCCCAAGGAGTTGGGATCACAGGCATGTGCCACCATGTCTGGCTAATTTTTGTATTTGCTGTAGAGTCACATTGCCCAGGCTGGTCTGGAACTCCTGGGCTAAAACAATCCTCCCATCTTGGCCTCCCAAAGTGTTGGAATTACAGGCATGAGCTACTGCACGTGGCCTCCACTGGCTGTTTCATAATCTGATTCCTATTCATCCTTCAAAACCCAGCTTAGCTGCCACTTCCCCTAGGAAACCTTCCCTGACCTGAGTCAGGTATCGCCTCTGGGGACCCTCCTCTTCCCTCATCCCAGTCCTGACCCCTCTGCCTGTGCTTCCCCCTTCCTAGCCCAGACTAATCTATTAGGTTGTGCAAAAGTAATTGTGGTTTCTGCTGTTGCTTTTTAAACATTTTTTTTGAGAAGGAGTCTCGCTGTGTCACCCAGGTTGGAGTGCAGTAGTGTGATCTCGGCTCACTGCAACCTCCACCTCCCTGGTTCAAGCAATTCCCTTGCCTCAGCCTCCTGAATAGCTGGGATTACAGGTGCCTGCCACCATGTCCAGCTAATTTTTTTGCATTTTTAGTAGAGATGGGGTTTCACCATGTTGGTCAGGCTGGTCTTGAACTCCTGAATTCATGATCCACCTGCCTCGGCCTCCCAAAGTGCTGGGATTACAGGCATGAGCCACCGTGCCAGCCCTTTTTTTTTTTTTTTTTTTGAGAAGGAGTTTCCCTCTTGCCAGGCGGGAGTACAATTGTACAATCTCGGCTCACCGCAACCCCTGCCTCCTGGGTTCAAGCAATTCTCCTGCCTCAGCCTCACAAGTAGCTGAGATTACAGGCACCTGCCCCACACCTGGCTAATTTTGTATTTTTAGTAGAGATAGGGTTTCTCCATGTTGGTCAGGCTGGTCTTGAACTCCTGACCTCAGGTGATCCGCCCGCCTCAGCCTCCCAAAGTGCTGGGATTACAGGCGTGAGCCACCACGCCCAGCCTCTGCTGTTGCTTTTAATGGCAAAAGCTGCAATTACTTTTGCACCAAACTAATAATCAGTCACTGATGATGGGTCTGTTGTCACCTCTACACACACACACACACACACATATACACACACACACACACACACACACACACACACACACACTGGACTGTGAGTCTCTTGGAGTCAGGCAGGGCACAAGGCTGTCCTGGTCACTGCTGTGTCCCCAGCATCATGTAGGTACCGAGTGCAGTTTAACCAACTATTAAAGTTGCCATAGGCAGGGTACAATGGCATTAGAAATGGGGATGATACAGGCATCTCAGTTATTAGATTACCGAATGGACAGCTGCTGCCCCAAGCTCCCAGTGGACCCCTGAGCACTCTCAGCTCTCTCCCCAGGGCCCTTCACGTCGCTGTGACCCATCATGGGAAGGGGTGACACCAGGCCCAACAGGGGACTCCAGGAGTTTGTCCCAGCACTGCCCAATATGGTTAAATGTTTTCACTATCATCTCTGAATGCACCACTTAGAGCCAAGTACTGGTGCTTTCCCTAAGCACATCTGGCCTAAAGAGGAAGCTCACATCCTCTCTTGTCACTTCCTCAGAACAAACATCTGATTTGGCCCCGCCAACAGATTAAAGTTTGAGGTCAGGATGGACGAAAACCAGCCAGAATCAGGATGAATGAACAACAAAGAAAACCCAGCGCAAACGTAGCACTCTGCTCACTGACGTCACCATGACTGGACTGGCCTTACCCTATTTCCTTCCTGATCAAGTCCAGAAAGAGGAATCTCGGCTGATCATGCACCACGGGTCCATTGCTTCCCCCACACTCCCTCTCTTGTGGGAATTTAGGAGAATTTGACCCTTTCTAAGTCTTTTTCTTAAAATGATCAGAGCCTGAACATGGAATTCGACAAAGGGGCTTCTGGATGTTTCTTTTTCTTTCTTTCTTTCTTTGAGACAAGCCTTTTGTCTCTTTTTCTGTTTCTCTCTTTCTCCTTCCTTCTTCCCTTTCTCCCTCTCTTCTTTCTTATTTCTTTCTTTCTCTTTTTTCTTTCTCCTTCCTTCTCTTTTTCTTCCCTTATGTCCCTTTCCTTCTCTTTCTCCTTTCTTCTTTTCCTTTCCTCTTTCTTTCCCTCTTTCTCCTTCCTTCCTTCCTTTTCTTTCTGCCTGCCTGCTTGCCTTTCTGGCTCCTTCCTTCCTTCCCTCCCTTCCTTCCCTCCTTCTCCTTCCTTCTTTCTTTCTTTCTTATTTATTTATTTATTTATTTTTTGAGACGGAGTTTCGCTTTTGTTACCCAGGCTGGAGTGCAATGGCGCGATCTCGGCTCACCACAACCTCCGCCTCCTGGGTTCAGGCAATTCTCCTGCCTCAGCCTCCTGAGTAGCTGGGATTACAGGCACGTGCCACCATGCCCAGCTAATTTTTGTATTTTTAGTAGAGAAGGGGTTTCACCATGTTGACCAGGATGCTCTCGATCTCTTGACCTCGTGATCCACCCACCTCGGCCTCCCAAAGTGCTGGGATTACAGGCTTGAGCCACCGTGCCCGGCCTGCTTTCTTATTTATTTATCTCTCCTTCCTTCCCTTTTCTTTCCTTCTTTATGTCCCTTCCCTTCTCTCTTTCTTTCTTCTATCTTCTTTCTCTCTTCCTTCCTTCCCCGCCCCCCCGCCTTTCCTTCTTTCCTTTCTGACAGAGTCTCACTCTGTCATCCAAGCTGGAGTGCAATGGCATGATCACAGCTCACTGCAGTCTTGAACTACCAAGCTCAAACCTTCTGAATAGCTAGGCTCCACCTCAGCCTTCTGAATAGCTAGGACTACAGGTGCATACCCCCATGTTCAGCTATTTTTTGTTTGTTTTTTGCAGAGACCAGGTCTTGCTATGTTGCCCAGGCTGGTCTTAACCTCCTGGACTCAAGCGGTCCTCCCACCTTGGTCTCCCAAAATGCTTGGATTATCAGCATGAGCTACCACACACAGCCAATTATGGACATTCCTTCACATTTTTTTTTTCACTGCCCAAGTCAGAGACCATCTATTGCAGAGGATTCTCCCAACCTACTGTGACCCTTCTTTTTTTTTTTTCTTTTTTTTTTTTTTTTTTTTTTGTGACAGAGTTCTGCTTTTGTTGCCCAGGCTGGAGTGCAATGGTGCAATCTCAGCTCACCACAACCTCTACCTCCTGGATTCAAGTGATTCTCCTGCCTCAGCCTCCTGAGTAGCTGGGATTACAGGCACGCGCCACCATGCCCAGCTAATTTTTTTTTTGTATTTTTAGTAGAGACGGGGTTTCACCAAGTTGACCAGGATGGTCTCGATCTCTTGACCTCGTGATCCACCCGCCTCGGCCTCCCAAAGTGCTGGGATTGCAGGCTTGAGCCACCGTGCCCGGCCTACTGTGACCCTTCTAATCCTCCCTTAAGAACATCGAGTCTCTGCTTGAATCCTGGCCCCTCAGCATCTATTGCTTGGACCATCTCCCAACCCAATGGATTGAGTTTAACCATCTCTTGCCCAATCAGATGGACAGACATAACTGAGACATCTCGCCTATGTCTCATGCATGCCTGTGAGCTTGTTAAGGGCAGAGCTGCAAGTTATACATAACAACCATACACACAAACATGCAGGATGGGGACCGGGTTAAGGATGAAAGTAAATGTGTTGTTGGGAGTGGGGTTTAGGGTAATCTGAAATGAGGATGGGGTTGGAACTGTGTTTGGAACCGGGCTGGCTTTGAGTTGGGGACAGTGGTGGGGTAACATGACGTTGGGGATAGAATTGGAGATGAAGTTGAGTTGGGGTTGGATATGGGGTCAAGAACGGGCTGGGGATGGGGTTGAGCTAGAGATGGGTTGGGGTGTGGTGTGACTGGGATAAGACATGGACTTGGGGTTCGGCTGATGTAAAATTAAGGATGGGATTGGGATGATGATGAGGTTGAGCTGGGGATGGCTTGGGGTTGGGGCTGGCCAGGGCTGCCCTACTCACCAGAGCTGTCCTGGTTGCATAAGTCTAACCCACACACAGCCTCAGTAAGGGTGGTGATCCTCATGCCAGTCCGAAAGCTCATGGTCCTGTTGGTCTTCTCTGAGTGGGTACAGCTTTTCTCCACCATCTCCACCTCTTCTCCTTCTGCAAGAAGTGGATCTTCGTTAACTCAGAGGCTCCTCTCAGCCCAGCCGGCCTCTGACGCTCCTGGTCTCAAGGTCACCCACTCCCAGGGCTGATCCTTGCCAGGCCTCTTTTGTTTGAGTCCAACTCCGCCTTTTTCTAGAGTTAACCCTGCCTCCATCCTCACCCCAATAAGGAGCCTGCTCTATTTTATTTTTATTTTAATTAATTAACTTTTTTTGTGGGGAGATGGTATTGCTCTGTCATCCAGGCTGGAGTGCAGTGGCACGATCTCAGCTCACTACAACCTCTGCCTCATGGGTTCAGGCAATTCACCTGGCTCAGACTCCTAAGCAGCTGGGACTACAGGCACATGCCACCATACTCCGCTAATCGTTAATTCTTTTTTTGAGATGGAGTTTCACTCTTGTTGCCCAGGCTGGAGTGCAATGTCATGATCTTGGCTCACTGCAACCTCTGCCTCCCAGATTCAGGTAATTCTCCTTGCCTCAACCTCCTGAGTACCTGGGATTACAGGCATGCACCACCATGCCCGTATAATTTTGTATTTTTAGTAGAGACAGGGTTTCTCCATTTTGGTCAAGCTGGTCTCGAATTCCCAACCTCAGGTGATCTGCCAGCCTCGGCCTCCTAAAGTGCTGGGATTACAGGTGTGAGCCACCGTGCCCGGCCCATTAATTAAAAAAATTTTTTTTTGAGACAGAGTCTTGCAGGCTGGAGTGCAGTGATGCGGTCTACCTCCACCTCACGGGTTCAAGCAATTATCCTGCCTTAGCCTCTGAAGTAGCTGGGATTACAGGCATGCGCCATCACGCCCAGCTAATTTTTGTATTTTTAGTAGAGACGGGGTTTCACCATGTTGGTCAGGCTGGTCCAGACTCCTGAACCTCAGGTGATCCACCCCTCTCGGCCTCCCAAAGGGCTGAGATTACAGGCATGAGCCACCGCACCCGTCAGAACATTCTTATACATGTGTCCCTGGGTATATGTGGCCAAGGATCTTTGGCATTTCTGCATGAAGAGGAGTTGATCTGTACCGTATGCTAATATTCATCTGGACTAGATATTGCCGAATTGCTCTAGGTGCCTGATGTGCCAATTTACTCCCCACCACAGACAAGGTCTGCAATTCCACATCCTTACTAACCACAGTACTGTCAGATTTTTAAATGCTTGCCAAGCTGGTGGGTGTGGAATGGGGTCTCCTTGCTTTTGTTGTTTTTTTTTTTTTTGAGTTTGCATTTTCCAGTTACTGGTGAAGAAGGATTCTTTTTTTTTTTTTTTGAGACGGAGTTTCTCCCTTGTTACCCAGGCTGGAGTGCAATGGCGCGATCTCGGCTCACCGCAACCTCCGCCTCCTGGGTTCAGGCAATTCTCCTGCCTCAGCCTCCTGAGTAGCTGGGATTACAGGCACGCGCCACCACGCCCAGCTAATTTTTTGCACTTTTAGTAGAGACGGGGTTTCACCATGTTGACCAGGATGGTCTCGATCTCCCGACCTCGTGATCCACCCGCCTCGGCCTCCCAAAGTGCTGGGATTACAGGCTTGAGCCACCGCGCCCGGCCAAGGATTCTTAATCACTCACAGCTCCCTGCTGCGCTGGAGAGGGGTGTGTGTGTGCGTGTGTGTAGCTCACCTTCCCAGTGGGACACGCTCGTGGTCCTGCAGAGGTTCTGTCCCAGGGCGCACTCCTCCACCCGGCAATTTCCGTGGGCGTTACACTGCATGCACCGCAGGCCCCAGGAGGCTGGGGGAAGGAAGGAGAGGTTAATTACGCTTAGCTCCAAAACACCCCGCTCGCACTTGCATGTCCCAATACCAACACCAATTCCAGGGCCCGTCCATTCAGATTCGTGCTCCACGCTCTGCTGGGTTCCAGCCGGCGGTCCTTCCAGTCTGTCCGTTGTCCACGTTCTACCTCCACCCCGCTCACTAAATGTTCTATCCGTGCCCACAAGTTCTTCCCCAAAGTCCTGGCCTGGCCTCTCTAGCTCTGCTAGGGGGGTTCTAGCCTCCCCTTACCCCTGTCGATCTTTATGTTATACCCGCCATTCCCAGTGCCCTAATAGAACTACCCTCCACTCACTCCCCCTGGTTCTACCCGGCTCCAGAGCCTCTCCTCGCCCACTAGTTTATTCCCAAATTCTAGCCCCAGCCGTCAGCCCTCCGAGATTCGATTCCCAAATACTGTAGTTTCCCGCGAAGTTCTGTCTCCGCCCTCCCGCTCCCACAATGAGGTTTTGCCCCGCCCCAGGCTCCTTCTCGATGCTTTAGTCCCGCCCTCTAGCTCCTCCTTGAGGTTCTAATTCGCTCTTTAGCTCTCCCCGAGGCTCTCCCCGCCCCTAGTTCCTCCCTGAGGTCATAACTCCGCCCCAGTCCCGCCTTGACATTTCAGCCCCGCCCTACAGCTCCTCCCCGAGGCCATAACCCCGCCCCTTGGCCGCTTGAGCTCTTAGCCCCGCCCCAAGCGTGTAACCCCGCCCCCACCTCCTCCTTGAGGCTCCAGCTCCGTCCTCTACCTCCTCCCCAAGTCTATAACCCTGCCCTTCAAGATTCAAGTCCCGCCTTCTAGACCCTCCCGGAGGTTATAACTCCGCCCCCTAGTGGCTCCTTGACATTATAACCCCGCCCTCTGGTTCCGTCCAGAGATTCTAGCCCCGCCCATAGCTCCTCTTCGCGGCTATAACCCGCCCCTAGCTCTTCCCGGAGGTTCCAGCTCCGCCCTCTGGCTCCTCCCCCCACTCTCGCCCCGCCCCAGGCTCCGCCCCGAGGCTATAGCCCAGTCCCTGGTCCCACTTCCCGACACCCCGGCCTTCTTGGACATCCTCTCCGAGCTGTGCGTTCGGAGTCACAGAGTTGTTACTAACTCCCGGCCTCCCGCGGTCTCGAGCGCTTTCCCACTTATTCATCGCTGCCCCAACACCCGGTGGCCACCTGCCCTGACTTCCTTTTCAAATTCCTCTCGGTTCTTGACTCAGTGCCTGCCCCCACGTTTTCTGGGGGAAGGAGGTGAGAATGACCTCAGCGAGGGAGAACGGTCCTGAGGGGCAATCCCGGGTCTCCTATCCTGGCTCTGCAATGCTCAGGCAGCCTCCTTTTAGCCCTTTTGTAAAAGGGGGCCCTGTCCCCCTGTTTCTCAGAGGGAGAGACTAGCCAGCGTGGAGAGCGCTGGGGTTAGGGGTGCGGGTCGAGGGGCTGCGGGTTCAGAGTCCGCGTATTCAAGCACTGGCTGTGTGATTTTAGGCCAGTTACCTAACCTCTCTGTGCCCTAGTTTCCTCGAAAACGAAATTAATAGTCTTGCTCGGGCGCGGTGGCTCAAGCCTCTAATGCTAGAACTTTGAAAGGCCGAGGCGGGTGGATCACTGGAGGTCAGGAGTTCAAGATCAGCCTGGCCAACATGGGGAAAACCCGTCTCTACTAAATACAAAAATTAACCGGGCCTGGTGGTACGCGCCTGTAATCTCAGCTACTCGGGAGGCTGAGACTGGACAATCGCTTGAACCAGGGAGGCGGAGGTTGCAGTGAACCGAAATTGTGCCATTGTACTCCAGCCTGGGCAACAAAACTCCGTCTCTAATAATAATAGTAACAATAATAATCCTATTGCCTAGTTTGAAATTGCAAGGAAGAAGCTTAGAAGAGCTCTATTAAAAAAAAAAAAAAAAAAAAAAAAAAAAAAAAAAAAAAGAGGGCCGGGCGCGGTGGCTCAAGCCTGTAATCCCAGCACTTTGGGAGGCCGAGGCGGGTGGATCACGAGGTCGAGAGATCGAGACCATCCTGGTCAACATGGTGAAACCCCGTCTCTACTAAAAATACAAAAAATTAGCTGGGCATGGTGGCGCGTGCCTGTAATCCCAGCTACTCAGGAGGCTGAGGCAAGAGAATTGCTTCAATCCAGGAGGCGGAGGTTGCGGTGAGCCGAGATCGCGCCATTGCATTCCAGCCAGGGTAACAAGAGCGAAACTCCGTCTCAAAAAAAAAAAAAAAGAGCACTCATTTTTACATAAATTATGTAAAGCTAAATGCCTTTGCCCCACTAATATTTCCTAAGCACCCACCTAGTGTCAGGTACTGCCCCGTGAGGCGTTGCACAAAGTAGGAGAACTATTATTTGATTAAGGAGGGTGCCGAGGACCGAACCCCATTCCTCCAACTCAGCTTCTAACAACCACCACCACCACCAATCAGACCCCGTTCCAGGGGCAAGCGTTCGGGGCCCAGCGCTTACCTGGGACGCCGGTGTGGAGCAGCAGCAGCAGCAGCGGCAGCAGCAGCGGGTGACCCATGTCTCAAGGGCAGCTCCTGTGAGCGGGATCCCTGCACTTCTCTCCTTCCAGCCTCACGAAGTAGGCAGTTTTGTGGCCCCAGGAGGAGCCAGGGGCTCCTCCCAGAAGTTTTGCGAAAGAGCGAGTCAGCCCCAGATGCGCGGGCGCCTCCCCCTCCTCCCCCACGAACCTCCTCCGCCCCAGACTTCCCTTCCCGGGGCGCGGCCAGCTGGTGGTGAAGGGGCTGGCTATGTCCTGACTCATGGAGCTGTGGTTGCAGCTCCGTCCCCAAACTGCCTGGATCCAAATCGCAGTTCTCTCTCTTCCTAATATGGGGGCCTGGGGCAATTGCTCTGCAATGCTGTAAAATGAGGATAAAAACGTTGACGGTAAATTTGAATGTGGCTGATTAATAGCTAACAGGATTTTTGTTAGTTTTGTCAGAAGGGATACTGGTATTTTGATTATGTGAGAAAATGACCTTATCTAGAGATGCATGCTGAAATATTTGAGGGTAAAGATATAATTTACCTTAAAACACTTCAGCCAGAAAAGTAGATATCGCTGTAATGACAATAGGCGGGATTTTTTTTTTTTCAGATGCTCATTAGAGTATTTAGGGGTGGCCAGGCGCGGTGACCCGTGCCTGCAGTCCCAACTACTCAGGAGGCTGAGGTGGGAGGATCACTTGAGCCCAGGACTTCTGGGCTGTAGTGTGCTATGCCGATCGGGTGTCTACACTAAGTTCAGCATCAATATGGTGACCTCCCGGCAGCGGGGGATACCAGGTTGCCTAAGGAGGGGTGAACCGGCCCAGGTCGGAAACGGAGCAGGTCAAAACCCCCGTGCTGATCAGTAGTGGGATCGCATCTGTGAATAGCCACTGCACTGCAGCCTGGGCAACATAGCCAGACACCCGTCTCTTAAAAAAAAAAAAAAAAAAAAAAAAAGGGTATTTAGGGGTGAATGTTATTGATGTCTGCATTTTTGTTGTTGTTTTGTGTTTTTTGTTTTCTTTTTCCTTCGTTTTCATTTTGATGTCTGTATTTATCTTAAAATACTTTAGAAGAGGTCAGAGGTAATGGTTCATGCCTGTAACACCAATGCTTTGGGAGGCCGAGGCAGGAGGATCACTTGGGGCCAGGAGTTCAAAACCAGCTTGGGAAACAAAAAGAGACCTCATCTCTACAAAAAAGTTTTTTTTTTTTTTTTTTTTGAGACGGAGTTTCGCTCTTGTTACCCAGGCTGGAGTGCAATGGCGCGATCTCGGCTCACCGCAACCTCCGCCTCCTGGGTTCAGGCAATTCTCCTGCCTCAGCCTCCTGAGTAGCTGGGATTACAGGCACGCGCCACCATGCCCAGCTAATTTTTTTGTATTTTTAGTAGAGACAGGGTTTCACCATGCTGACCAGGATGGTCTCGATCTCTTGACCTCGTGATCCACCCGCCTCGGCCTCCCAAAGTGCTGGGATTACAGGCGTGAGCCACCGCACCCAGTCTAATTTTATTTTATTTTTAAACTTTTTTGGGCCGGGCGCGGTGGCTCACTCCTGTAATCCCAGCACTTTGGGAGGCCGAGGCGGGTGGATCACGAGGTCAAGAGATCGAGACCATCCTGGTCAACATGGTGAAACCCCGTCTCTACTAAAAATACAAAAAAAATTAGCTGGGCATGGTGGCGCGTGCCTGTAATCCCAGCTACTCAGGAGGCTGAGGCAGGAGAATTGCCTGAACCCAGGAGGTGGAGGTTGCGGTGAGCCGAGATGGCGCCATTGCACTCCAGCCTGGATAACAAGAGTGAAACCCCGTCTCAAAAATAAATAAATAACATAAAATAAAATTAGCTGGGTGCAGTGGCCCATACCTCTAGTCCCAGGTAGTTGGGAGGCTGAGGTGGGAGGACCACTTGAGCCTGGGGACTGGAAGCTGCAGTGAGCTATGATTGCACCACCACGGCACTCCAACCTAAACAACAAAGCAAGACCCTGTCTCAGAAAAATAATAAATAAATAAGTAAATACTTTAGAAGAAAATACAGGTAAAATAGCCAAATGGTTGTATCAATTATATTAAGGTAATGGGTATATGGGGGCATATTATGCCATTCTGTCTCCTTTTCTGTGGGTTTGAAAAGGCTTATAATAAGTTTTCTTTTCTTTCTTTCTTTTTCTTTCTTTTTTCCAGACAAACTCTCACTCTGTCACCCAGGCTGGAGTGCAATGGTACGATCTCGGCTCACTGCAATCTCCGCCTCCTGAGTTCATGCAATTGCAGTTCTCCTGCCTCAGCCTCCTGAGCAGCTAGGATTACAGGCACCTGTCACCATGCCTGGCTGATTTTTGTATATTTAGTGGAGATGGAGTTTCATCATGTTGGCCAGGCTGGTCTTGAACTTCTGACCTCAGGTTCCACCTGCCTTGGCCTCCCAAAGTGGTTTTACAGGCGTGAGCCACTGCACCTGGCCAAGTTTATTTTATTTTATTTTTTTTTTTTTTTTAAGTAAAACAAAATAGAAAAGATAAAATAGTCTCCTCATCTTAGGATGCATCTAAATAAAAAGCAATCTAATGCAGGTGCAATGCCTAAAATAGCTGCTGGCCGAAATGGAGGGCTGAACACATTCCTTCAACATTTACCAAGCACCTACTTTGCACCGGGCACTGGTCCAGGAGCTGGGGACACAGCAGGAAGCAAAGCAAAGTTCCTGCCCTTTGTGGTGTTGACAGTGGGGAGCAAATATGTGTTATCTAATCTTTCACTGTCTGGGAGCGATTAGCAAACTGGAGAGAACAAAGCAGCTGAAGGAAGTACCTGGGTGCAAGTGAGGTGTGAACTGTGGCAGGTGGGTGATCCAGTGAGGTGTGAACTGTGGCAGGTGGGTGATCCAGAGGGCTTCCTTGCGCAGGTGGCGTTCAAGCAGAAACTGAATACAGTGAGGGAAGAAGTTGTGCAGATGTGCAGGGAACCTTCCCAGGAAACAGGAACAGCCAGTGCAAAAGCCTTGACGTAGAAGCCCGATGAGATTCTAGGAACCGCAGAAAGGTCAGTGTGGCTGGAACAGAGGAGGAGAGGGATAGAGTCATAGGGGATGAGTAGGTGGCAGCTACCTCTACGGCTACAATAATGATTATACTATGTGATTTTATTTTGCTGTTCTTCTTGTTGGTTTTTGTTTTTTGAGACGGAGTCTCACTTTGTCTCCCAGGCTGGAGTGCAATGGTGTGGTCTCAGCTCACTACAACTTCCATCTCCTGGGTACAAGCGATTTTCATGCCTCAACTCCTGAGTAGTTGGGATTACAGACATGCACAGCTATTTTTTTTTTTTTTTTTTTTTTTTGAGATGGAGTTTCGCTCTTGTTACGCAGGGTGGAGTACAATGGCGCGATCTCAGCTCACTACAACCCCTGTCTCCTGGGTTCAAGTGATTCTCCTGCCTCAGCCTGCCAAGTAGCCGAGATTACAGGCATGTGCCACCATACCCAGCTAATCTTTCGCACTTTTAGTAGAGATGGGGTTTTACCATGTTGTCCAGACCTGTCTCAAACTCCTGACCTCAGGTAATCCACCCGCCTTGGCCTCCCAAAGTGTTGGGCTGGTCGATTACGGGCATGAGCCACTGCAACCGGCCCTAATGTTTGTATTCTTAGTAGAGGTGGGGTTTGGCCATGTCAGCCAGGCTGGTCTCAAACTCCTGACTTCAGGTGATCCATCTGCCTTGGCCTCCCAAATTGCTGAAATTGCAGGTGTGAGCCACCACTCCCAGCCTGTACTATGTGATTCTTACTAATTCATTGAAGCTGTAAGCTAATAATTTTAAGATAAGTTTAGAAAAAACAAAAACAAAAAAATCTCCCAATGCTGAGCACAGTAGCTCACACCTGTAATCTCAGCACTTTGGGAGACGAAGGCAGGAGGATTGCTTGAGCTCACGGTGTCAAGACCAGCCTGGGCAACATAGTTAGACCTTGTCTCTACAAAAAAAAAAATAAAATAAACAAAATTACAGCCTGGATAACATAGCGAGACTTTGTCTCTACAAAAAATACAAAAATTAGCCAGGCGTGGGGGTGTATGCTTGTGGTCTCAGCTACTCAGGAGGTTGAGGTAGGAGGATCGATCACTTGACCCCCAAGAGTTTGAAGCTGCAGTGAGCCGTTGAGCGGTTGAACTCAAGCCTGGAAAACAAAAGCAAGACTGAAAAAAAAAAAAAAAAAAGAACTCCCAAAGAATTCCCTTTCCTAAGAGGCAGTATAGCCCAATGGTTAAGAGTGTGGAATGGGCTGGGCATGATGGCTCACACCTGTAATCCCAGCACTTTGGGAGGCTGAGGCGGGTGGATCACCTGAGGTCAGGAGTTCAAGACCAGCCTGACCAATATGGTGAAACTCTGTCTCTACTAAAAATATGAAAATTAGCTGGGTTTGGTGGCAGGCACCTGTAGTCCCAGCTACTTGGGAGGCTAAGACAGGAGAATTGCTTGAACCCAGGAGGTGGAGGCTGCGGTGAGTCAAGAGCGCACCACTGCACTCCAGCCTGGGCAACAGAGCGAGACTCTGTCTCAAAAAAAAAAAAAAAAGAATGTGGGAACTGATCTCAGATTGTGAGAGTTTACATTCCATCTACATAGTGGCTGTGTCACCTCTAGCAGGTTACTTAATCTCCCTATGCCCCAAGCCCCTTATCTGGAAAGTAGAGATAGCAAGGATCACCCTCCCAGGGCGAGTGTGCAGGGGAGATAAAAGAATCCACCTAAGATGACTATGCAAGGTGGCTCACGCCTATAATCTCAGCGCTTTGGGAGGCCACAGCAGGTGGGTCACTTGAGGTCAGGAGTTCAAGACCAGCCTGGTCAACATGGCGAAACCTTGTCTCTACTAAATAATACAAAAAAATTAGCTGAGCGTGGTGGCATGTGCCTGTAGTCCCCGCTACTAGGGAGGCTGCGGCACAAGAATTGCTTGAACCTGGGAGGCAGAGGTTGCAGTGAGCCAAGATCGCACCACTGCACTCCAGCCTGGGCGACAGAGTGAGACTCCATCTAAAACAAACAAACAAAGTAAGAAGAATGCACCTAAGATGCTTGCCACAGTGCCTGGTACATAGTATATGCT